CTGACAAGCAAAGTCAATGGGGAAGCCTGACTCACTTAACAACTGGGTTACTAACAACTGCACTGATTCACTTACCAACTGTGGCAATAAAGGTTGTAACATGGGGCAAAACTCACTTAACAATGGTCTTGCTTAGCAACAGAAATCTTGGGATCAATTGTGGCCCTAAGCTGAGGACTACCTGTTCAGAGGTCACAATGGAGAAAGCTTCTCCCCCCCCCCCTTACTTTTTTGCTGCAGGATGACACTCAAAGATCAGTTGGGTTACTCAGTCCTAGATAAAAATGAAGCTGCATCCCCTTAACGTGCCGGTGATCCAGACATCCTTGGTTCCCAACCTTTTTTTGGCCATGCCCCACCCCATCTCTATAAAATCCTGATGCCCCCTCCCCCGTGACACGTAATTCTTACTTTACTCAAAAAGTGAACTCTACTCACACAGAGGAAGCCTAAAAGGCCATCAACTTGGTTTAAACAAGGTTCAAATTGCCCCCATTAAAAATAAAATTGCCCCTTTGTGGGGCCTGTGCCTCAGGTTGGAAACCACTGGTTTAGATGAATGAATCCCCCTTCTCTGACTTGCTAAAATTGATGGCCTTTCACAATTCAGTTGCATTACTCTTTTGGTTGCCTCTTTAAAAAGAGAGAAAATGGAAACCTTTGTGTCGTAGGGAAAGGGGAACAAAATCTCTCGTATCTGTATTGATTGCATTACCTTTCAATTTTTTTAAAAAAAATCAATTAAAATGCTTGCTAAAGCACGAATCTTCCATATATGCTTTGGCCCATCATTGCAAACCTCTGATGACTAGAAAAATGCATCTGATATCATTCTATCTTCAGGGCAACTTGAAAATATATTGGAAGCTTATGAAATTTAGGCCCAACCTAGCAATCTCCTCCTGGCCCGGTTTAGTTAGTTGTGTAAAGTTCTCTGACACAGCATTCTTCTTCAAAGCAGTCAAACAACCACATCTTTTGCAAGACCCACACAGCTACTTCCAAAGCTTCCCTAGATCTTTATCCATGTGCACCCACACTCCATTCTGTCCCTGGCACTGACACAAAATAGTTCTGCTTACCAATGGTGGGTTCCGGATCCCATTGCAACCGGTGTAGTGCAACGGGGCCCAGTGGCCACCACATGAATGCGTGCAGCGCGCGCATGCGTCCTTACCTCCTGTAATGCTTCACAAAACCTCCGCAACACTCCAGCTGCTCAGCGGAGCATTGCGCAGGAGCCGTATGCTCCGTGCACAGAAGTGCCGAAGAGTTCAAATACATGTAAATACGGGGGGCATACTGGGGCATACCGCCTGCAACCCACCACTGCTGCTTACGTTCAAGGACTGAACGCTGCTTAAGCTGGAAAAGGAAAACTTGCTTTGGAGTGTATGTGTGGAAGACAAACCTAATACACGTCGATCTGCAATTATTTTAAAGAAGCTGCACATTTCCTGGGATTGTTTGGCTGCCTCCTATACCTGTCAGACGATCTTGGGAAAAGCTGTATTGGGTTTATAGAGTTGCAGGCCAATTTATGAGTCTTGGGCCCCGAAGCACTTTCTGTCTTCCGATCTGAAATCCTGCACACACACATGCAGATAGCAGAAGCAACGTTCAGAGTGGTTGCACAAGCATTTTCAAAGACATGGCTGTTTCAAGCTTGAAGAGACAAGCTTTGAAGCAGTTCTTTCAGACGTTTTGCACAACCTTGTCACTCAGAGCCAACCTTGGTGCTTTCTTCTTCTTTTCATTTCTGAACAACACTCTCAGGCCTTTCTTCCCCCTGAAGTGAAAATGCCTTTAAGTCCTTTCTCAGCCTGCTGTGTGGTAGTGGGATTAATCTCACTGCAGTCATATATGGTCATTTAAATCCCATGACACTTCCTCTGAGGGCCAAAAATAATCTAGGAGTGAAAGAGCAGCTGAGACCAAGGCCTAAAAAAGCCGAGGCCATCTGCTTTTGTTTAAGTCTCAGAAAGTCTACAGGTTCTCTTTGTCTCTCTTCTTCGGTCTCATTTTCTGACTTCTTTACAAGCCCAGTTATGATTTGCTTTTCTTATTCGGAGTATTTTTCGCTATTTTATTCATGCTGTCATCACTTCAGGCGTGCTGCACAGTCCAGAGGCCAGACTTCAGCATCCGGTTCAGGACTCAGACGGAGGTACGATGGCAGCTTCTTCATCTTACCCCAAGCTGAGTAAGTTCTTCCTCTCCTTTTCCTGTTTAAAAAAAAAATGTTGTTTTTATGAGATAGGCTTGTTTGGGCAGCTGGAAAGACATATTAAGCAGTTCATGAAGAATTTACAAAACTAACTGAAGGAAACCTTGCTCCCTTGGTCTGTTTGCCCCCTTCCTCTGTTTCTACCCTTGCTTGAGCTTCTCTCTCTTGAAAGCCTAATAGTTAACTATTAGTTGATTTTGGTGCCACTTGTAGGATTTTCTGGTGCACTGAGCTGAGTCAGAAAAAGTAAGGATGAGTGGCTTCTCTAGTGATTAATTTTGGATGCCATATAGCCGGATTTTTTTTCCTTAGCTGCATTGCATTTTACTCCAATATAGAATACTTAGCAGTAATCAATTTTTCATAGTCCTTGAAGGAAGTATAATGTATGTATTACTGCATGTTGCACAAGATATCAGCTCTCTGATGAGGGCCCTACTATGGCCATAATAAATACATGCTGTCTAGTAGTTAAATTAGCTACAGTATAGTATACAGGTAGTCCTTGACCTATGACTACAATTGATCCTAGAATTTATTTCACTAAGTGAGACCTTTGTTAAATGAGTTTTGTCCCAGTTTACAACTTTTCTTGCCACATTTGTTAAATGAATCACTGCAGTTGTTAAGTTAATAATATGGTTATTAAGTAAATCTGGCTTCTCCATTGATTTTGCTTATTAGAAAATTGCAAAATGGGATCACAGGGCATTGCGACCGTCATAAATATGAACCAATTGCCAAGCATCTAAATGTAAATCACATGATCATGGGGATGCTGCAATGGTCCTAAGTGTAGAAAGCTGTCATAGATGACTTTTTTTCAGGGCTGTTGTAACTTTGAATGGTCACTAAATGAACTGTTGTAAGTTGAAGACCATCTGTATTTACAAAACAGTTTTGACAGCTGCAGTTTTTTTCCTGGGCACTCTTGCTTAAGCCAGATCTGGCCTAGTTATTGGGATGGGAGACCATCAGGAAACATCAGAGATGCAGACTAGACTGGGAAGAGAAAACAATCCCAAAAGAATATAATGGCAACCCAATTTTGAACTGTTGCCAATAAAACTATGAACTGAATTTGAGTTGAAGGTGACTTTACTTTTACAGATATAGCAATAGCACTTATGAGTTATGAAAGTTTATTTATATGCCGCCCTTTTCCCTGGGGGGACTCAGGGCGGCTTACAACTCAAACTTAATCTTATATACTGCTTCACAGTGCTTTACAGCCCTCTTTAAGCAGTTGACAGAGTCAGTCAGCATATCGCCCCCAACAATCTGGGTCCTCATTTTACCAACCCTGGAAGGATGGAAGGCTGAGTCAACCTTGAGCCTTGAGCCTGGAGAGATTCGAACTGCCAAATTGCGGGCAGTCGGCAGTCAGAAGAAGTAGCCTGCAGTACTGCATTCTAACCACTGAACCTCATATGTTTGCCACTAGTAATATTTCCTTTTATATTTTCATCTATACAACATTTTGTTTCAGTTCGCTTACTAAATCTTTTACATTTATTGTGCAACTCTGTCAATCCTTGTGGATTGTGGTGACATCAAATGGTACTTGATAAATAAATATGCAGACAGACATTGCAAATACTGTATCAGAAATAATTTCAGAGAAAGTGATCTCCCTTTTGTTTTAAAGAGTGCTGGATCCTGTAGTGTCGGTGATCAAGGAAGGAGATGAAACAGCACTGCACAACATGATACAGGCAGGAAAAAACCTTGCACAACCTAACAAAGATGGATGGTTGCCACTCCATGAAGCTGCTTATTATGGACAAGAGGGCTGCTTGAAACTGCTGCATAGATGCAAGTATCAGGAAAGGGGCTGATTGCACAGAGGATGAAAGATAAAGTCATTTTATTTTTTATTTTTTCATTTTATGATACAAAGGAACCTGCTAGGTTGTATTACAACATAGAAAAGGAGCTTCACATGGAACCTGTTTCTACACGTGTAAATTTTATTTAAACAGTTTCCCCAAATTTGAACATAATGAGTTTGTTATCTGCAAATAACAATGAAAACAAGTTTTCATAGTTTTATTGTTTATTTCTTTTACGTAGAAACTCATACGGTTACTTATCTTATACAACATAATCTGGGTAATTCACAATAATGTTAAATAAAACCAGAACAAATAAATGATTAGCCCATGACTATTCTCTCTCTCTCTCTGTGTGTGTATCGCTTTAGAATAATTATAATTTCTTCCAAGTTTCAATGGCATTTATTGAAGGATTTGTGTGCAAGGACATTTGATTCAAACCCAGCTTAGTTCATAATTTAAAAAGACTGTAATACTTTTTCATAAGAAAGCTGTAGATTTAGTATATGAAAATCTTGTCTGTTTATACTATTATATTGATATAAGGCAGCGTGGTGGTGATGGTGGTAATGGTGGCGGTGATGATGTTGATGTTGATGATAATAATAATAATAATCTCAGGCAGACTTTCCAAAGCTATTCTACAATGAGCATATCTTCCTACAAAGCAAATCAATACAACACATACCAATTAAGTCCCAAAGACATTAAACTATCAATATATGCTATTTACCAAAGTAGTTTACTATCTCATATAGGTTCTAATAGTAATTGCCATGGGCAAGCTTTTAGCCTTGATCATTCAGGGGTATTAGATTACAACTTTATTTATCTACTTGGCTCTGCTGCGAAGAACAGATTTGTGTTTTGCTACATCTAGGGTTCATCAGTTTGGAGAAGGCTAAATAATACTCACTATTAATACTATCTAGATGCGCTGTATGCCTTGCCTAATGTGGTTCAATGTTTTCTCAATAGCTTTTCCTGGGACCATTGATCAACGTACACTTCAGGAAGAAACAGCACTCTATTTAGCAACAAACAGAGGGAATATTGATTGCATGCGTTCATTGCTCCAAGCTGGAGCAGAACCTGATATTGCAAACAAAGCCAGGGAGACCCCACTTTATAAAGGTATGTAACTTCATTCATGTTGGGGTTTAAGCTAGAATGTACTAGTGTCTTTAGATTTGGAAATGCTTTCTGCCCTGGAACCTTCATACCTGTAATGAGTGTTGAATGTTCAGAACTTGCCTTGAAAGCAGGGTATGCCAGAGAAATAAAGAAGCTCCCATCCTTTTCCCTTCCAAAATTCCACCATACCCCTGGAATTTCCATTTCTGGTTCTTATGTTTCTGGTTGTAAAATTATTTTGGGCCCAAGAAATACATTTGTTCCAGTTAAAAAAAATAAGTTCATGGATTTCAAATTATCTTGTCCCCCAAATCTCCCCCAGAGAAATAAAATAGAAGGTATGTTTGTATGCAGAGCCCCGTGCCGTAGCTAGTGTCATAATTAATGAAATAAATGCTCTCAACATGCAGATTTTTTTCTTTTGACATGACAGCCTGTGAACGCAAAAATTCTGAAGCCGTGCAGATGTTATTGCAGTACAATGCTGATGTGAACCATCGCTGCAATCGTGGTTGGACGGCCCTTCATGAAGCTGTTGCTCGAAATGATTTAGAAATAATAGAACTTTTAGTTCAAGGAGGTGCCAAAGTTGAATCTGCAAACTGTTATGGAATTAGCTCTTTATTTGTAGCAGCTGAAAGTGGCCACTTAGAAGCCTTGAGATACCTGGCGAAATGTGGTAAGTACCAAATGCAGGAAGCCACAACCGAATCGTTGTTGGATTGGTTGTGGTCTGCGCATCATTCATTCATTTTTCATTTGTGCTTTTCTTTATTCAGCCTATGTTTTGTTACTGGTTTTGTTTTGAGTACATTTAAATATTTATATTTACTATTATTTCATTTATAAAAAAAACAGCAACACCAATAGAAATATCAAGAAGAATCATTATACCTGTGTATTATTCAAAGCTTTAAAGCCTCTCTGAGAATCCTAAAATAATTTTATTCCTCTTGTAAATGTGCAATATTTGCATAAATTGAATATTCGTTTTTTTCTTATTGAAAAGAAGTCTAGTGTTGTAATTGTGTTTCTAGTTACAGTTTTGTTAAGTTTGCCAAGCATAACAAGAGTTTTCTGTTGTTTGCAAGGGAAACAAATTCTGCTTGGCAGAGATTTGTGCAGCTGAATTTTAGGCATGTTTATTTAAATGAAATCACCACCCTATTGAAAGAAGTTTGTTCTCAAAGTGTGTGTGTGTGCTGTGTGTGTGAAAGATTTCAGGGCATTGAGATCAAGCAGCAGACCTACATATCCATTTCTTTAGAGTATTTTGTTGTCACCTTTGCAAAAATGATTAAATTGGTACAGAAGCATTCAAAAATAATAATTTGTGAGATAAAACATCAAAATAGTGAAATCCATTAAAATAATATCCAAACTACACGCCAATTGTTCTAAGTATTCCAAGTCAAAGGGCATGTTTTTCAATACAAATCTTATTACCATCTTTTTAGTTAGAAATAGTAATATCCTAATTTCAACAAAGAATTCATCATTTCTTTTTACTGTGGGATTAGAAAGTTATGGGCTTAATTAAAAGGAGTAGCATTCACCCCCAAACATTCCTTTTAATCTACTAGCTAAAATGAACCCAAACTGGACCATTTCCAGGACTACATTTTCTTCATCTAATCTAATATTGACCAAATTAAGTCTCAACCAAGTAACTTTATCTGCAAAGAACAAAGGTGTCCCAGCCATTTTTTGTCTGCATCTCTATCTCCCCCCTTGCTTGGTCCAGCCATTCCATTGTCCTCATGGGGATGTTCCTAGAAAAAGGACTTCTTGAAACCTTAATCAGAAGAGATCATTCAACCATATCATCTCTTGTCCTAACTGACTTTTCTGCTAAGCTGAAAAAAGAAGATAAACAGCTGGAAAATACAAGGAGGTTACATTTTACGGTGTAAATTAATTTATTCTGCATGCATTGAATCAAATTATTGTATGATTTCCAGCACTTCAAAAGCATAAAGCAGTTGTTGGAAATCTTTATGTTTTCTTTGGACTACAAAGTTCTGGTAAAGAACTATATGTGCTGTTATTAATTCCAGATCATTTTAGATTTTGCTTTACATATCTTTCATTCTCAGGTGCTGATATCAATACTCAAGCTAGTGACAAAGCCTCAGCTCTCTATGAAGCTTCTAAAAATGGACATGAGAAGAATGTGGAATTTCTCTTGTCTCAAGGTGCTGATGCTAACAAAACCAATAAGGATGGGCTCTTACCAATTCATGTGGCCTCCAAAAAAGGCTATTATGAGTAAGTTGCTTCTTTAATTTTCATTATTTGGTCAGTTTAAACAAATAAAGATTAACTGCATAAACTGTAGATTAAAATAAAAAAATGTTATTTTCACCTCAGCAGCTGACATCAAAAATTCAGTTATCATGTATATAAAAAATAATCAGGATATGATAGATCATATACAATTTAGAATACCCAAAATAACAAGAGAGAGAAAAATATTCAAGTTTATACTGTGGATATATGTGATATATCTTTCTCAATCCCATATACACACTTTTATGCATGGAATTGTGGCTACAGAGTTATTATGGTTATTTATTATGAATTATTAATATAAAAAAATAAAGACAAGAAAATCTTCTGTCTCCAAGATTCTTAAAAGCTAGTTTCTTTGTGAAGGTACAAGACAAGGAACAGAAAGAAGTAAGACTAACAAAAGTTGAACCAGTGCAATTGCTTTGAGGTTCTAATAGTTAGTTAGATTTGAATCATGGGAAAATGGATTCTTTAGGCCACAAAGTTATAGTTTGGTAACAAGGTTATACAGATGGTTATACAGTTGGCCCCCTTCCAAGTTAATGATTTTTTTTAATCCTAATGATTATACTACTTTAGTAGTATTTTTCAAATTCATACATAATGTGAAGTGATGATTTGAGACCCATTCTAGGTTATATTATTGAGTCAGCATCTCTAACCAGAATGGTCTTGGACAGATCAGCATCATAGGGTCAATATTTTTAATTTATTTTCAGTCATTCTTATTTTCAAGTAAGTTTCAAGTTACAAGTGAGATTCATTGCACAGGAAAGTTTTTGTTAGGGTTAGTTTGTCTTTGAAATTCTTAGTTTTTGTTAGGGTTAATATGGATTTATTTTCAGAAAGAATTTAAGATTGAATTTTTTGGTGAACAAATCTGAATCTCAGTGTAACTCTTGTAATGTGTATGTCAGTCTATATTTTGATATGTTAACTCAATTTAAGAACTCTAGCCACAATTACTAATCTAAACAAGTGAACTAGAATGTTCCTCCTGTTGTGATAGACTTCCATTTACAGAATACTACTCTATAAAGCAGCAATTTACAAAATGAACTAAAGCTGACTTGTATCAAAATAATAATATGAGCTAAAGCTGACTTGTATCAAAATGATCCAAGTTTCAGGTAAAACCATTCATAATATCTTCCTATTTTCTCCATTAATGAGCGCTGTGTACCTGTAAATCAGATGTTCTCAAAGAACAACATTAATTTTTACAGTTCACATCAGAGGTGGTATTCAGCAGATTCTGACCAGTTCTGGAGAACCATTAACGGAAATTTTGAGTAGTTTGGAGAACCGGTAAATACCATCTCTGACTGGCCCTACCCCCATCTATTCTCTGCCTCCCGAGTCCCAGCTGATCAGGAGGGAATGGGGATTTTGCAGTAACCTTCCTCTGGAATGGGGTGGGAATGAAGATTTTACAGCATCCTTCCTCTGCCATGCCCACCAAGCCACACCCACTAAACCATGTCACGCCCACAGAACCAATAGTAAAAACTTTTGAATCCCACCACTGGTTCACATACTGAAAACACCTACTCATACCTACTCTTCACCACAATCATATCCATGCAATCCAAGGACAATGAACAGGAAGAAATTATTACCTATTTTTCCTTAATACCCTACATAACTGGGGAGAGGTACTTGCCCCTTTTAAATATCAGCAAACTCCTCCTCCCATTATTCTAAAGTACTGACCATAATGCACAATGCTGACAGGAGTTCACATCTACAAGTAATGTACCCCTGTCAGAGGAGAATTGTTTAAAAATCCTGTTCTGTCTCTTTAAGAAAAGGAAGTACAGGACATAAGGGCTTGGAAACTAAAGGGAAATGAGGCTGGAACTGTGTTCTGTGCTTTTATTCAACAAAATGATGTTACTATTTACAGCTACTAAAGTCTTGTGCAATTCTTTGCATGTTACTATATAATTGTAAACACTGAATAAACCCCAATATGTTCATAACTTGCGTATGAAAATATGGTGGGGGGGTGATAGGGAGGGAGGGAGAGAGAGACAGAGAGAGAGAAAGAGAGAGAGAGAGCCAGATCAGTCCACTGGAGCATGAGGGTCTCTTACTTGAAGCTTATCTACCATTTATAATTTATTTATAATCAATAACTTTGATTATATTTGTCTTTTTAATTTCATTTTTGCCAGGATTGTGAAAATGTTACTCCCAGTAACAAGTCGTACTCGCATCAAGCGTAGTGGCATCAGCCCTCTGCATTTGGCAGCTGAGCGCAACCATGATGATGTCTTGGAAGAGCTGATTGATGCTGGCTTTGATGTAAATGCCACCCTTTCTTTTGAGCGTTCCCGACTCTATGAGGATAGGCGCACCACTATCCTCTATTTTGCAGTCTTCAACAACAACATATATGCCACTGAGCTTCTGCTTGAGGCTGGCGCTAATCCCAATGTTGACTTTATCAATCCATTGCTCATCTCCATTCGCCATGGCTGTTTGAAGACAATGAAACTGCTTCTTGATTATGGAGCTAACATTAATGCCTATGTTGCCTCTCACCCTACAACTTTCCCTGCTACTGTAATGTTTTCAATGAAGTATCTTGCTCTGCTGAAATATTTGATGGACATGGGCTGTGATGCCAACTCTTGCTTTATATGTTGTTACGGGTGTGGCCCACATCCTCCTATTGATATTAGGAGGGACCGATATAATGATCCTGCAGAGAATAACGATAACAAAATTGTACAGGTAATTTTTTTTATTATCTCATCTTTTCTATGACATTTATAGGAATACATGGGAAAAATAGTTCAGAGGTAGGCAACATAGCAGAGGTAGTATTCAGCCAGTTCTGACAGGTTCTGGAAAACCGGCAAATAGGCGGGCCCTGTCCCTGCTGCCTCCCAGCCTCCCTAACCCTCCCAGCTGATCTTCTTTTGTTGCCCTGAACAGGAGAACGGAGCTGAAAAGCTGGTTAATGGGATAGGGAGGGAATGGGGATTTTGCAGTATCCTTCCCCCGTCACGCCCACAAAGCCACACCACACCTACAAAGCCATGCCCACAGAATCAGTAGTAAAAACTTTTGAATCCCACCACTGCAACATAGTTTTTTTCTTAGAACAGTTATAAGTTTAAATTCTGGTTTCTCCAGTTTAAACAACAATCATCTATCTTATTATCTAGCCCATAGAAATGCAAGCTACTTTGCCTTTGGCAATATCATCCAGCCTCCAGAAATCAAATTTCTTATTAGCTCCTGGACAGCTGAATTAACCACAAAATTAATATTAAGAGTTACTTGTGTGAGATGGGCAGCTATAGACAGACAGACAGACATATAGAATGAGGACAGCAGGAAGGATAGCATTTGCTTAGTGAAGGTTTGGTCTTCTGTATTTTGTGTTTCCAAGCTTCTCTTTATACAAATCCAACTTCCTACAAACAAGGTTTTGTTTAGCAGAAAAAATACCATCCCAGATATTGTGGTCCAGAATATTGATTTTTTTAAAAAGTGAATAGGATGTGACTTTTACTGATATTTTATTTGCCACTAGAAGGCATTTAAATTATTTTATGAAAAGTAACAATTTTTTTTTCAACAGCATGTTCTTGCTTTATTAGTCTCCTTTAAAAGAGTAATATTTGACACAGCTACAAAATATTTATTTTCCTTTCAGTACCAACTGGTTGGATGACATTTTTGTTAATATGGAAACAAAAATGTCTTTCTCTGGTTGGAAAGCATATCATATTGGCATAGGAACAATCATACTGAATAAAAATTGATCCTTTATACTCTTGCATTAGGTGCTGTTATGTACACATATAACATATAGCTAAAATAATATACAATTCAGTAAAAAAATAAATACTGCTTACTATTATTTTAGGGTGAGTAGAAAAAGAACTGCAACCACATACAAGAACCCAATAAAGACTATATTTTAATTATGATGGACTGAGACAACTCGTCGCGCCAACTTACCATGGGACACTTCGCCCTAGGACAATTTGCCGAAGGACAATTCCATGCAGGATAACACAATGCAATAAATAGTATCTGCCACTGTTATGTCCATTGACAAAAATGGAGATAACATAGAAGAAACAGTGATGGGTAACATTTATCACACTATGTTATCCCATGTGGATTGTCCCATGACAAGTTGGCCATGGTAAATTGGCTGTGGCAAGATGGCCATAGAAAATTGCCCTAGACCCAGAGAATTCTATACTGAATAGCTTCCAGACTGCAGGCAGAGTCTTATTTTTGAGTGCCGAGTATAAACTTTTCATCCCATAATAAACAATAGATGAATTTTTATGCAGAAAAGAATCCAAAACACAACTTTCCAATCCTAAATGGTAACATTAAATATTCTGTTCTCTCCATTTCCTTTTGTGTATCTACCTTGGTGTCCCCTATGTTGATTTATACAGGAATCAGTAGATTTCAACTTTTCCTGCAGAATAGTCATCTATGTTGTAGAATTTCCTCTTCTGAGTTTTTTGAAAATGTCCCACATTTCTATTGCGATGAAATAAATCAGTGATTAATGGTATTTTTTCCAAAGTAATAATAAAGAAATGACCTTCAAGGATAATAAACAGGCTATAAATATGAATTCAGACACGTATCATACTTAATAAAGATAAATACTCCTTTGATTTACCTCAATTTAGCTACAAGTATATTTCATTATATTTCAGTATTTTCTAAACAAAAAAACATATAAATAAATTAAGAAATACAATAGTCTGAAATTATTTCGTTTGGAATGTCAATCCAAAAAATAATGTCACTGGATGCATTCAATTAAACAATTTTGAACATTTTGGAGAAAAACAAAAATGTGTATCTAGATTTAGACAGAATTAATGCATATATGTGTGTGTGTGTATGTGTTAGAATTTAATTCATTGTAGTTATTAGAACATATATTGAGAAAATAAATTATGTTTCTGTGAAATAATTATTGCAAATAATTATACTTGAAACTGTTCTATGCTGTTATGTCTTGTATTTTCTTTTGCCTTTTGATCACTTACAACATTGATTATATATAATTTATTCTTCGCCATCCACCTCAGTTTTGTGAAATGGTTTCAACCCCCGAGATGAGTCGTTGGGCAGGCCCTATTATAGATGTTCTTTTGGATTATGTGGGCAATGTGCAACTTTGTTCCCGGTTGCAGGAACACATTGACAGTTATGAAGATTGGTCTAACATTAAAGTCAAAGCAGGTTAGTTACAATTTGGCTTGCGCTTCTATTATTCAAGTAATAATAATAGAAGTAATACTTAGTAATGCAACTATTACAACTAAATGCTGTGGCATTCTGAATAATGGCGAATTTATAAAAGTTACTATACAGGAAAAAAACATTCAAGCCTCTAAGATATGTTGAATGTTAGCTTAATGTTTCACAAGAATACTATTATATAATATATAGTCTGATTGTCAGGAGATACTACCTAATGATTATTTGTTCAAATTAGTTTATCAAAATATGGCTATGGCTATGGCTATTTTATCACTGGAGAGTTTAAAGACATTAGATAATCATTTGTCTAAAATGTTAGAGTCTCCTGCTTCAGCAGGGGGTTGGACTAGAAGACCTCCAAGGTCCCTTCCAACTGTTGTTCTGTTAAGATCTGAATATTATCTTACTAAATTGAGATATGCATACATTTTAACCATTCATATTTAGTTATTTTATTTTAAAAGTCCCTAGTTTTTTAAAGTGTATTTGTGATACAGTACCTTTGAAATATATACTAAAGTTTTTATGAAAAAATATTAGTTCGTAGATAACTATTTTAGGCCAAAAGTAGTATAAACATAATCATAACATGCTACTTGCTTGCTTGTTTACTTATGCACTTGACAATATTGTTTCATTTCCAGAGCCACCAAGGCCACTTGGACACCTTTGTCGAATCAAAATTAGAATTGTGATTGGAAAAAACCGTCTTTCACTTATTGATACTTTACCTTTGCCAAGAAGACTAATTCGGTATTTACAATATGATTATACCCAGTGATCTATAGTGAACCTGACATTCAGCCATTATATGGAGTGATAATCAAATGTATTATAGAGCGAGCTGCCATGATGGAAACAGACCGATATGATGGAACAGAAAACTTGTTTTGGTATGTAAAAAGAAAAAAACAGAGGACTTCTGAAAGTTAAATCTCAGAACAAATGCAACAGCATTTAGAGTATAGGAAAGACCTGAAAAAGTGAGAATAAAGCACTTGGCAAATAGTGAAAGGGATATTATGCTATCTTGCAAGGAAAAACACTCTCAGTAGCTCAACATTTAGTACAAAATGCAGGCAGGGTAAAATGTAGATTGAAATCTACCAATAAATCTCCAGGTGATCTACATGTCTTAAAGAACTTCCAATTCTCCCTAGTTTAACAATGGTGACAGAAAACCTTTTTCCTCCTTAATTAAACTGCTAAAATAAATGTTTAAAAGCTTGCAAGAAAATAGGAGGTTTTTATGATGTGAAAAAACATAAGCACAAACTCCAGTTCTACTACCAAAAAGAAATTCCTGATCTGGGCATGTGTCCAGTAGTTCTAAATCTGCCTTCTTAAATTGTTATTTTGTACTTGATTCTGGTTGACGGACCTCACAATAGTGAAAAATAAACATGCATAATGTAAGCCTAAACTATTCATAACCAGATATAAGGAAGGGGTAGCAAAAGTTGTATCTCTCCATATAGATAAATGCAATGAATTATGCAGATGATCATGCTGTAATCATTCATAATGATATCAATCAATTCTTTTTGGGTTGCAGCAATTATAAATATTGCTGCCAACTGTATAATATGCTGGATTTTGTGCCTGTTGCCATAATTGATCATTGTGTTAACAGGCATTAGCAGGTTTACTCATTATATGAATAACAAATGTATTTGTCAATAGTCACATAACAAAACCATCTTGATGCAATGCAAAAATTAAAAGAAGTCCAATAATGGTTAAATCAATATAACATTTCAGTTTTCAGATTGTATTTTATTTTACTTCAGTTTGCTGAACTTACCAATGTTTAGCGATTCTAGTCTACATCACCATAGTTTCATGTCTCCCTATCTAATTTAACATGTATTCACCTTTTATTCTTATTTATAAAAATATTTAATGTTATTTTCTTGTTCCTGGTCAAGAATTGTGCAAATACTGGATTTCAAGAAATGAAAGATTTTGAAGAATTTAACTTAAATAAGAACACAACATTTAACTCAGATGTATAAATCTGTATCATATTGTAAATCTATATGTACATATATTAGTTATGAGGATTAATGTAACTGAAACCAATGGCATTTAACATTATTTTAGCAGCATTGAAGGGGAGAGTAGATTCAAATCCTGTGCTGTTTCAGAAAGACTTCAGGAGAAAATTCTTGACCTGCTATTGATGAAAATCAATAATAGTGAGTTGCATCTTTAGGCCACTAGTGGCCACTAAACCACTAGGTTAATTTCAGAATAAATTATTTAGTTTAACAAGATTATGAATTGAGAATCTTATTGCTTAATTAGATTATGTCTAACAACTTAGGGTTTCATTAGAATAGTCTTAATGACCAATGATCTATATGTAAGCAATGACTTAGCAGCACTATAGTTTTTAAATAAAATTCTGGTTTGGTGGCATTGTATACTTTTAGAGAAATAATTTAGTGGTATTAAGTTATTAGAAGAAAAAATTATCCTCATGGAGGTTGGATTGTAGATACCTTAAATTGACATCCTCTTAACAATACTTCCATGAGAAAGTATTCATCTTTCTAATTCAGATAAAAAAATGCTTCAATTGATATAATTCATGTTTGCTTTATAAGTGTGATAACAAAGAAGCTTAATGATACTGCATCTAAGTTAATTCAAACCAATTTAAGCAGAGTTCATTATATGCATTTCAAGAGTGCTTTGCAGAAATGTCTGAAATAAACAGTAGGACACCTTGGAGATGTTGTATATATAACTGGCTTAATATTCACAATATTGCAGTTCCATGAACAACTTTTCTTTCAAAAATATAAACTTTGAATGGTTTTAATATGACATAGTTGAGGCTAGCACCAATTCAAAAAATGTATACAATTTCATATTGTCTACAAGCTGAGAAATCTAATTGATTAACTCTTTTTAGGGAAACGTTCACATATCCAGTATATTGGAGGAAAAGAAGCATTAAAAGGGCTTTCTAGTTTTTCTCATTAGATATACACAGATAAATTGTCAATTTGAATTCCTCACTCACATAATCAGGATTAATTTAAATGGATGCCATAGAATGAGGAGGAAATTATCCACTAAATGTCCCTTTGAGAATTGTCCTTTCACTTCATTATTTCTTGCCATAAAAAAATACTTTACATTTATTTGCACATTCTGCATGCTACCTCTCTTAATCATTTCACCTAATCAAGCAATAAATATTTGTACAGAAAGATTTTCAAGAAATCTGCTTGGCTTACATAGGTCTATTAGCTGAGTAATGCCTTAACACTGGTTTAAAATAATAAGAACTATCTACTCAGTTTTCTATATGCTCACCTGCTCCAGGGCAATTACAAGTATAATAGTAGATATGTAGCTTTCTACTGCTCCAGTGATTTTGTGATTTTTTAAAAATGCACAAGTTTTATGAAATCTGTACAAATTCTGTTGTTTTATACAAGTACAAAATATTATTGTAAATCTTAAAGTTAAGAATATTTAGATCTGAAAAATAAGCTCAATAGTTCCATGCTTTACTTGATAGTGTTGAAGATGGAAAGAACCTGTTATTATGCTCTATATCATATTCAAAGAACATTTTAGGATTTTTGCAAACTGTTCTATTGACATTATATGTTTGATTTATTATTTTATAAATTGTGTGCCTAAACAAGATTGCAATGTATTTTTGAGATTTTTGTTATATTAACAATAAAGCACTGCGTTTTTAGGTGGCGTTGTTTGCATTAAATTCGAGTAAAATTGCACTGCGTTTTTACTTTTAAGACATTTCTGAAAGGAGTACACACAGTGACGTGCGGTCAGCTTTAAGCCTGGTGAGGCACTTTTTAGACTTGTGGACTTCAACACCCAGAATTCCACAGCCAGGCATGCTCAGTTCCGATTTAAAGCGACAGCATTTTTCCCCCTTGCAAAATAAATTTTCCCATTCTTTTTCTTCTCCCTCCCCCTCCTTCCTCCCTCCCTCCCCCTCTCTCAAACAGACACACACACACAGAGAACTTGGATCCCTCTCTCTCACTCACTCATTCTCAAACAAACACAAACACAGAAATTGGATTGGATATATTTTCCAAAG